ATGGTGGGTCAGAGTTAAATGTGTTGCAGTCAGTTCGGCTTCGGCAAGCACACGGATGGGCATACGCATCAAGACCTGCTCTGCCATACTTTCAGCCAATTTTACCTAGGTAGGTCTTTTCTTTTTTCTGCCAAAAGCTATGACATTGTGAATTTCAGCACTGTGGCCTGTGTGTAGCTTTCAAGAAAGCAATTCTAAATAAAGCTCTGATAAAGTGCAAAATCAGCAATGCAGCCCTCTATTACATTTTCTACAACATCTTACTTGTTCCTTGCATGGAGAGAAAAATGCAATGTTATGAATTCGTTTATTCACATAATTTGACAAGCATGCAGTTACCTGCTACTATCACTGCACAAAACAGAGCAGAAAACATCAGTTGATCAAACACAAGACATAACAGAAGTTTACAACATAGGGCTGCCGAACCTGCTTTCTCCCACCACAGTTGATGCCATTTCCTAGCCTAGCTTGATGTGAGCACTGAATAGCTGCTTTGTCTAATTACAGCTCACTACCATTCAACTTAAACTACTCTCTTTAAAGTAAGAGTGAGAGCGTTCAGTGTTCATAGCAGCTCGACAGACGACAGACAACAAACATCTTGACAAACCAACCAGTATTTGATTTGGCTAATGATTTATGTGCTTGTTGTATCATGGCCAAACTACTTTAACAGCAATAATCCCTGTTTCATCTTGATCTTGCTTTTATTTCCATTTGAACTCAGATCTTGAAACAATCATCTGAAGTGATATCAGATACTGGCTTCTGTTTCTCTTGAAAGCAAGTTTGAGTTAAAACAACAATGATAAACTAAAGCTCAGGCTACACTATCAGCGTTTTTTCGGTTTCTGCGTGATTTCGGTTTCCGCGTTTTTACGGTTTCTGCGTTTTTTCGTTCCGGGCGGCCGCCGCGTGGACGGTGTTGTTTATAGCATAGTGATGGATAAGTGATTAAATTGATTAATTATTCATGTTAAATGTCATCGTGTTTTAACGAAATCATAATTAAATAATTGTTTTAAAGATTTTACAACTAACAAGAATATATTTTCGATCATAATTTTTTGTCAGCTTACTTACAATTATCATATTTGAAGTAGAATGATGAGTTTTGAAACACATCTTGTCTTCTTTAATCATGAATAACACCATTTTTATTATTTACACTTGAAACTGTTCCATCGTCACAATATTATTAGCAATAATCACTTCTAATCATTCATCACTAAAACGAAATCCCGCAGAAACCGAAAACAAGTTCACAGCTCTGAACTTTTTTTTCGGTTCCGACTCGTCGGTTTTTGCGGGTTTTCGTTCCACGGGACGCCAAACTGGCAGTGTAGCTTGCGCAATGCATTCGCTATGAGGCGAACTTGACGACGCGAACCGAAATCCCGCAGAAACCGAAAAAACGTCTGAATTCATGCTAGTGTAGCTTAGGCTTAAGGCAGGAGATGTGAGTTGTGGCAGTAGATTTTTGATTCAACATATGTCAACCTTATATTGCTTGAGACCTCTGTGACAGACAAACAAATATTTATAGTTTTTTGATAGTTTGGATTCTTGGCTTGATTTAGCAGATCAGCTGTGAACCTTGACTTTGAAATCACATAAATGTCATGGTACCTACCCGAACGAATCCTCGCATGACATTTCTTCGTAGCACAATTTTTCGTCCGCATTTCTTCGTCTACAAATCTTCGTCGGTGCATTTATTTGTCCCTCAATAATGCTTACTCTTGCACATATTTGCGTTGAAGAAGAAATGCGAGCCGATTTTCATATACCCTGGTGCGAGACAAAGTAATGCGATAGGTATTAGGTACGAATAAATGCCCTGACGAAGATTTGCAGACGAAGAATTGCGATACGAAGAAATGCCATAAGAATTGTCCTGGAATCCTTTATTGGCCATCATATATTGACCTTGATAAGATAAACCACTGAACTCTATAATGTGGAATGCGCATCGGCCGCCAAATGGTGTCCAACGGTGCCGCCATGTTGCGCAGACCAGAAAGCGGCCGCCGCCTGTGCTGGGGAATAGGGAATTCGGGACCTCGATTTACGTTTGCGGTCGCTGCATCCGTTACGCTCAAGCTATGTGGACACGGAACCCGGCATCTTACGCAGAATTGAGTGGAGAACAAGATGAAATCCTAAAAAATAATCAGCTATAAGGAACTAATACGTTAAACCCTTATAAGTCAATGGGGAAATATGAAAATTGTTATTTTGGCGCCGAGAATGATCTGAAACTATCTCAAGCATATAAAATCATGATTTCATGCACTCTTTGCAAGGTTATATGCTTCATATTTGCATTGTTGCCCTTACGTGACGTCATTTGTGACGTCACAAGGGTCACCATTTTTCTTCAATAACTCCCGATCAAATTGAGCTAGCGAGTCGGGAAAGCCACCAATGGACTCAGGAAGACCTGCCGAATCGAATGATATGCGACATGACCTCTTTCGACCAACTTCGTGACCTGGGGGTGCTGACCTGACCTTGACCTGAGGTCAACACCCTAAGTTGACCTGGCCCGAACAAAAAGTATATCACTCGATGCGCCTGAGCTAGCTGAACACGATGATGCCAAAATCGCGGCTCTACGGCCATTTTTGGCGAAGTTATTTACCAAAAATCGAACCCGTGCCTTAGATCACTTGACCTGACCTCAGAGGTCACCGGTTGACCTGAGACCCTTACAGCGGGTTCCTACCAGTCACTCTGCATTATACTTTGCCGCATACGACCACTTCACCGCTTAATTCTAGTTTAATTAGCGGTGCATTAGCGAGGTGGGTTCAATCAACCCCCTCGGCCGGGGCAAATGTAGGTCAGGCGAGTAAATTTGAGGAATTCTGAAGATACGATCGTGTTCCCCACTCAATTCTGCGTAAGATGCCGGGTTCCGTATCTACGTAACTTGAACGTAACAGATACGGCGGCCGCAAACATAAATCGAGGTCCCGAATTCCCTATTCCTCAACACAGGCGGGAATCGGATTGCGCTTTACGAGGAAACGAGTGCGCCGCCGATGTACACGGTGCGCTTAGATTGGACTGCGCTTTTCCTGCGTTTTTGCACAGGAAAATGCGCCTGGACTGGAAAGAAAGTAAAATGCCGCATAATCTTCAAACGCTCGATGCCACTGAATGAAATATGCATGTATTATGCTCAGGAACATGGCAAAGTAATAATATGACTTAAATGCATTAAATTTGAGCAAACACAGCGTCGAAATTCGCTCATGTTTTTAAGTGCGCTTATACTGACCAAAATGCGCCGTGAGTGGAAAATCAGCAATTTCCCTCAATACTAGTGGACATTTTTAAAATGTGAATTTCTTTAATATAAAGCTGATAAATTACCCGTTACTGTACACAATATGATGCTTTTCATCATATTTACCAGTGTTTTATGCGCGGATCAAGATTTTGGTCTCGGCTAGCAGCTATTCGCACTTCAGGAAAATTGCGCCCCATCTGGCTGTATGGACAATGTTAAACTCATGCAGCCCCACTCGACTTTTAAGCTGAATTTGTGAAAAGTGATTTAACAAAAAAAACGGTTAAATTGAAGAACGAGTGTTTGGATATTACTCGTCTCATCTTAAAACATCATAAAACACTTCAATAAATAAGAACTTCGTCATACTTTTCCTAAAAAATAAGTTTTATATTTTGGGCTGGTTCAGTTCTGGCGCACTTTTGCCTATGTGCGCTTTTAAGTCCCAGAAATTTGTCCCTTGTCGGCGCAGTGCGCCGAAAAATGACAAATAAATTGCGTGTTTAAGCGCATGAAGGGAAAAAATGACGATTTAAGCGCATTACAGGAAAAAACTTTATTAATGATTTATATGTTGCGTTGTTTATTCTGTATATTTGATTGATCTTTAGCATTACATAACATATAACACTTCCTGAAATGTGATATTCACATCATGTCCTAATGTTTCACTCTGGTCTTGATTCAGCTATTCAGCTATTTAAGTGTTATTAAGGGTCTTAAGGGGTGTATGGATTTGTGACGTATTACGAGTCTTAATCCACCCTGTACTGTCGGTGTTTATAATTGCATGTGTGTATGTGGGGGGGGGGGGGGCGTTTCACACTACTGACCACAAGCGGCTAGCGGAATACATTTCGAAAACGGGTCAAGTATGGTGAATTAACCCTCGCACAGGCAGGTGGGTCGTATCGACCCTTCCAAGTTTTATCCTAGACGGACGCTAAATGTCAGGTCAATGAGTTATTGATGCCAAAGAGGTACAGCCTCCGACCGGTTCTTCCGGGGTGTGTGCCAAAGTCTAGAGGTTTTCTTACGCTGGTACCCACAGTCTTAAGGATCAAAGGATCCACAGTCCAAGGATCATAATGAAACTTCTCACACATGTTGGGGCATCATTGTCCATCGTTTGGTAAAACAAATTTAACCGGGTCATGCTAGGTGGCGGAGTGATGACGTGATAAAAGATACAGTTATCACGTCATCAGTGATAACAGATACAGTGTCCGGCGAATAGTTGACTGGTGACTGATCAAAACCGCAGTGAAATTCGACATTTCCTGTGTAACTTACGTTTGTAGCTGTTATCACATTTCCACAGCCAGTCCACGTGCCAGTGTGCAGTCGCGCCCGCGTGCTTGCTAGTGACCCCGCGACGTTAATCCCATCAAACTCCTAAGCTGTGCTCCCGGCTGTTGTCTGGTATTAAGTCTCCAGGTGTCCCACGGCAGTCATTCTAACCAAACATTAGCCAAACATTGCCATTTGTCTAACATTCTTACTTTACATTATTGCTCTCGGATACTTAATGAAATAATTTTTATATATTTTTGTCCAGCTGATCAAGACAAAGCAATATTTGTCGAAATATATGGACTTGTATGCTATTGATTTTCATCCCAGTGAATTCCGATAAATGCTTATCATCTACTATCGCATACTTGTCATGGGAGCAGGTATTCGTTAACACATACAGTGCTCATCTTAATGCAGTGTATTTTCCAACGACTTTGGAAAAACGCTGTGTGAACGCGAACGATCGCGAGTTCACTCAACAGAACGATTGCGACACGACTGTCGCAGCAGAACTATGAAAACACGCTGTGAACGGTTGCCGATTGCGGGGACAAGGTACACCTCACAACTGACAGAACGATTGCCATACGACTGTCGCAGTAGAACTTGAAAAAAAAAACGCTGTGAACGGTTGCCGATTGCGGGGACAAGGTACACCTCACAACTGACAGAACGATTGCCATACGACTGTCGCAGCAGAACTTGAAAAAAAAAACGCTGTGAACGGTTGAAATTGCGGGGGCACCCCTCACAACAGAGCGATTACACACAGAAAAATATTGACACCGTTAGCGGTGTAATTGCACAGTACATATCTGAGCACTTGAGGAAAGTTAATTTAGTCCCTTCCCCGCTTAAATTACTCGCGCTTCCAAATGAACACCAGGAAGAAGGTAATAGAACACTGTTAGGAGGGTTGGGTGTTTTACTACATGTAGCAAAACACCCAACCCTCCTAACAGTGTTCTATTACCTTCTTCCTGGTGTTCATTTGGAAGCGCGAGTAATTTAAGCGGGGAAGGGACTAAATTAACTTTCCTCAAGTGCTCAGATATGTACTGTGCAATTACACCGCTAACGGTGTTAATATTTTTCTGTGTGTACCACACGGCTGTCCGTGAAACTACCGCCTGCGCGACCGTCCTCCCCTCTCATCAGCATACCGGTCCCACCGCCCCTTCTCACGAGCACTCTGTAGCATTGCCCTAAGTTTGTTCTCGACGCACTTAGGTGATCGTGAGTCAAACAAAGGGCTGTTCCTTGACATCATAGTAAGTGCCAGCCTGCTAGACACAAACGTACCATCACTGATCATCTTGCGCACTTGCTTCTCCAAGACTGCCACCTCTTCTGAGCTGAAGGCCACAGCAGCTGGACGAGGCTCAGAATCTTCTGTGTCTGTCGTCTCATCACAGCCATACAGCACCTGCTTCATCTTTTGCACCGTTTTGGTCGCCTCCGCCCGCCTGTTTTTTGCTGAGTAGGCGCGGAACTGCGTAGCCGACCTGTGTGTCATGTGGTCCGCCAGTTTACGGCGCTCGCTGTCCGTCAGGTCGTCATACGCGGCGGTGGAGGCAGCCTTCCTGATCATCGTAGGCGTCAGCTTAAAGTCTACCTGGAATCCACGGCAGACTTCGGCGATGTCGTCCGCCGGGTCCGATGAGGGGAACAGCAGGTCCACCTTATCTTCTGTTACCAGGAACGACCTGAAGTGTTCGACGTACACCTCGAGATGTTTCACCAGACCGCGAACGACCAAGTTCGCGGATCCGTACGTTGCGTTGCTTTTGTGGTCCTTCACTCGCAGAACTTCGTTCTTCATTTTAGCATACTCGTCCAGTCTTGCATTTTTGATAACCCCAGACCTCTGGAAGTTCTGAAGGAGGATCGCAGAAGTTAGAAGGCGTCTCATCTTTACGGCGTCCGTCCGCCGAATGTCGGAAGTCATCGCGCACATCTTTGGGAGCTCGGCTTCAACTAGTTTCCGTAGCTCATTCAGCTGTTCTCGGGTGGGCAGGTAACCGTCTTCTCCGAGTTTATCTTGGAGTTGCGCCTCTCTATGTAGGTCCAGAGACGATGCATCGCGCTTCCAAGTCTGTAAGCGCCGTCGGGCGGCATCCCACTGCACAGCGTGCTCTGGCTCACGTACGCTGGCGAACCTTTCGAATTCCAAAAGGGCGATGACTGCCGATTTCACCGAAGCAGTTTGGTGGGGGACTTTCTTGAGGAGAAGTCGCTCCACGTCGTCGAGGTGGTTCCGCAGTATATCAGAGGGACTCTTTGAGTCCGACACCTCCCTGAACAGAGCCCTGAGCTGCCGCTCCTGTCGCCGTGCCGTGGTTGGCTTTAAACGCCACCCCTGCTTGGACGCGACAAAGAGGCTGATGATATCAGGTCCGTCTTGAGCATCTTCTCCATCGTCGCCAACTGCTCCGCCAAGAAGCTCCGACTCCTGTAAAAGAAAAGAACAACTAAAATCCGGTGGTATATTTTGCCTCGGTAGGATAGGTCAGAAGGAGGGAGGAAGGGAAGGGGAGGGGAGGAAGAGGGAGGGGAGACGAAAATCGCGTCTAATGACGTAATAAAACACCCATCCCCCCAAAAAAGTCGGATTTCGCCAAAATTTTTACAGAATGTGCATAAATGATGTAACAAAAAGAAACGCAAGTTTAGTGTCGATATCTTAAGCCGTTCTGTAGTCATCACAAACAGGTTTCGGAGTCGGAATCTGAGTCGCCGGAGTCGTGGCCACGAGTCAGGAGTTTGAATAGGCTCAGCTGCCTCGACTCCGACTCCTGAACGCGTTATAATTTACGACACCCCTTGTCGATACAATAGATCTTGCTGGAAAGACTTTTTGCAAATGAATATAGAGGGTGCAAAAAACATGAAGTTTGCTTTCCGTGAAAACGTTTTCTGTCACAACTTTCGACTCCGCAGAGATAGACGATTGAGGCTTGCACAGCCGTGTTTTTCTGATCCATTGTGGTCAAATGATATATACCTAATTTGACAGAAGCACAATTTTAACCTGGGCTGAACCAGAAAGGTCATGCTGCATATAACTCAACTGAATTAGTCTCGATGAGGCAAACACATTGAACTTGTTTTAGAGGATGTAACTTCCAGTCAAAAGTCACCCGTATTGCTAGAAAAAGCTTTCGATGAACTATGATAACGACCGGTGACCGGTAGTGAAAAATTTCATTTGAATCGTCAATGATGAACTTTTGATTTTTTCTAAACATAACATAACATAATGTTATGAATTGATAACTATGCCATTCAGTCTCCCAAACTGAATAATGTTTAAGTCAAATTTGAGGCACTGATTCTGCCGAAGAGAAAACGCTAATATTTCAACTGCAACTAATATTACAAACCTATAGCTACACTCGACCGCACCCCCCCTCCGGTCAACAACTTTTGGGCGAAATTTGGCAAAATGTGATGAGTCATGAGTCATATTTGACTCAAATCTGACTCATTCTGACTCAAATGAGTCAGAGTTGAGTCGGGCTGGGAAATTTGGGATTTGAGTTGAGTCAGAATTGAGTCAACCAATAAAATTTCAGTGGTGAGTCGAGTCAGAGTTGAGTCACCTAGGTTATCACATGAGTCAGAGTCGAGTCAGTCCCGAAAATTTGAGTCGAGCACAACCCTGGTCATTTGAGAGTGGGAAATCCACATTGAAAATCATAATAGGGGTGGAAAATTATTCACCATTGGGTGTCATCTTCAACCCAAATCAAAATTTTTTGGGACATTGATGCCATTCAGATACATTTCAAATTCATCCATTTGACCCCATCGGTAATGGACCGCGGTCGAAAAAAATGGTCCCAATAATAAAATTCGAGAATGCAATTGATGTGTACTGATGTATGAATTACGTTTCGTGAGTTTAAGTATAATCCTTCAACGACTGTAATTGTAAGTTGTGACGCGATGACAAACATTTAGAAATTGATCATTGAGGCCGGGGCAGTTAAAGCCTTTCCATTGTATTTTATTAACCCGCGCCCCGTTGGGCTCTGCCGAGCAACGCGCCCGGTTGGGGGGGGGGGCCATTTTGGCCCCCCCTAAGATCTCGAGAACCACGCAACATAGCGACAAGCGGTAAACGGCGTTGGATAGCCCCAACGGGGAACTACCTTGTGACCCAATTTTATTGACCTAGGTCAAACCGATGACGTCACAGGTCAGGTCAAAGGTCCAATTTTCACCGTTTACAGGCACTTCAAGAAATGCGTTGTAAAATCGAGTAAAATGCATTTCATTGAAAATCATCGATGGGGAAATGTTCTTCAAACACATATTTTGCTATTTGAGGTCACTGATACCAGGTCAGGTCACAGAGGTCAGGTCACGGGGGGGTCACAATATGAAAGTGTCGTGTGATACATGTTTTATGGTCCATTTTACATGACAAATGCGATTATATGGGTCAGGCAGAATTTGGGGCCAGCTAAGATCACGTTTTGGTCAAGGTCAGGTCAAGGTCAGGTCAAGGTCAGGTCAAATTAGGTCAAATTTTAAAGTTAATATTTTTGCATAAAATGGGTATCGAATCGATGCAGCTCATCACGGGGAGTTCAATGGTGGTCTTTGTTTTGCCGTACGTGGTCTAGAATTGCTAAAAATTGAGTTCAAAAATTTGACGTCATCATTTTTGAACAGTTTTTTCGCTATAACTTGGCCAAAAAACGAGATATCGATCTGAAATTTGGTATGTATATAGAAGAGCGCTGGGACTATCACATATATTCCGGTTTTTTCGAAATTCGGAAAAATTTTGGATTTTTTCAAAGTTTTTCTAAAAAAATCAATTTTTTGATTTTTTTTGGTCAAAAACCAAAAATTTTGAAAATCCGAGATAGCAGTTTTGTAGCGCCGCTTTTTGTCTACTAGACCATATAAAGAACTTTGAAATTGCTTGATAACTGTAGATTTGGTGAGCGTTTCAAGATTGCATGTTTTTTGCTCATTTTTGCTCGAACATGACCTCAGTTTGACCTCAATAACTCCTGACCTAAGGTGACCTAAGACTTGAAATTTGGTGTGAAGGTGTCAAATTGATGCCCGGGAAGGTACTGAAAATTTGGCGGCGCTGCGCGCCGCCGTTTTCTTGCTATTCAGGAAAAACCACAGGGGGGGGCCAAAATGGCCCCCCCCCCAACGGGGCGAGGGTTAATTAAGTCCGAATGTTTTGATTGGGCGGGTTTGAGGGATCAGAGCCTGCACTAAGCATAGCTTGTTGTGCTGGCCCTGACCCCACCACCCGATCGCGCAACTCCAGTGCTATGACAAAATTTTATCCCAAAGTTTAACATGCCTGATAGAATAACATGGTCCCCTCCACCCACTGACGCTTTCTGGCACAGGTCGGCTTGTGGCCTGACCGCGGATGATAGGTAATTAAGAGTTTCACTAATTGTGGAAAAATGATGTTGGAAAACTTATTTGACGGCAGCACCCGCATCCATTCTTACGTCTTACGTCATCGGAACAATCTTCAAAAGTAGGCACTTCTGTGCCTCCTCCAGACGTGCGAGGAATTTCGTATTTCGTATCAGGCCGGGAGTCGGAGTCAGAGTCGGCGTCGGTCGGGAGACGGGAGCCGGAACAGCACCACCACGACTCCGATACCTTAATCGCGAATATCCGGGAGGGGCAGAGGTGGGTAAATATTACCTCTACCCCACCGCCGAGCGGGTTAAAGTTCGGATTCTGGCGAAGGGGGGGGGGGGGGTCCAGTGCCAGATTACTATACGGTTTGTTCAGTAGGAAAATTGTACTGCCCAGGTGACGTCACAGCGGCTGTGTAAATAGGGGGTAGTTCAGATGTCAGTTTTCATCACATCTATACCATGTGGGGCTACAAAATGTATATCTCGGATTTTTCATATTATTGACCTATGGTTAGATCAACATTCGACCTCGCCCATCATAACTCCATGGGGAAATGCGTTTTTGTGAACAACTTATGAAGGGGACATGCTAGACCATGAAATCGACACCCATTTTAACCTTTTTGACCTGACCTGACCTTAGCCTTGGGTCAAAATGAAGTTGACCTATTGAGAACTTTGACCTCTGGAGCCGAAACAGAGGACCTGAGGTCAAATCCGTTGAAACTATACAGATAGAGAATTTCATTGCGCATCTGATGTTTTTTATCGTTCCTAGCTGCCTTAGTTTGGGCGCCAGACATCCCTAACCCACATCCCACTGGGGTATTCCTATAACTCACACCCTGCTGGGGGACTTTTTAGAGCCCCCCTGCTATCTCCTAAAATACTTGGCCGATTTCAAAAATTCCAAAAGCAAGCGGAAGGTCGTCAAAAATTAGGTGGCGTGAACTTCGGTATTTTTGGTGTTAGGTAAAAAAAAAAAAATCTTTGGTCATGTCCTTTGGGCTTAAACCTTTGGTCATGTCCAAAACAAGGGGCAAACCTTAAACTACTGTAACTCGGCACCAGATCATGCTAGGCGGTTGAAAGTGACAAATTAACAAATGTTCCATTCTGGGCTTTCAGAATTGGTGCAATTTGTGCATATCCATACATAAAAAGAAGTCGCTGTAGCCAATTTAAAAATGACATTCATTGTGAAAGACCCTGTAGAAGAGCAAGAAGAACGCGTAAAAAGCATCGGAAAGTTCTTTTCAAGCTCTTTCGATCTGGTGTACTCAAATTTGATCTCCGGTCAACGGTTTGGCCTCCAGAGGTCATGAGTTCTCGTATCGTCATCAGTGGACCGTACTCCCGGCGCGCAGATGGTACAGAATCTAGCGGTTTATTGAGCCGCGAGTGAAATTTGACGCAATTCCAAATACAGTCATCAGTTCGGCAATTACCATGGCACTGGACACAGCGGCGTCTTTCATGATCTTCCGAGCGGAACGGTCTGTCACGCCGTGATTCCGTCTCAGATGCCGCTGCAGGTGTTTGACGGAAGCTCCCACACCGATCGCACTGCAGCTTCTCGGGAATCTCGATCTTCCTGTGAAAGAAAAGCATGTCTGCTATTAAGTCGCATCATTTTTACTACCGCACGAAAAGAAAAAGAAAACTAGTGAGGATAGCGCAAATACGGTAATAGTATTTATTAATTTGCTCATCTTTGGAATAGCCATAGGTAAAGGAACGTATACGCAGTGAGGGTGTGTCATCGAGGGGGGTTTTCTCTCAGATTTTAATTGGAATTTGTAGAAAACTTGTACATGGGTGTGGGAACACCGAATATGAAAGTTACTTCACGATAAAATTAGTAATTGGTGAGCGGTAGCGAGATGAAGTTCCTCGACGAGGACGTTTTCAGGCGTTGCAGTCTTAAATGCTAATGAGCATTTGCGATTTGTGTGTAACACCGGACTAAAGGCGATGCGCGAGAAAACACGATGTTAGCGGATTAAATGCGACCGAAACATCAAAACTGGACCCAGTGAATGATAAATTGCCCCACCGTCAACATAGATCTGGATCCTGGATCTACCGGATCCTTGGATCCAGGTTCTGAAATATTTACATTCGTTCCTTTGCTGTGCTATTGCTGTCAATACAAAATATTAATAATGTATCCAAGGATACCGGATCCTGGGATCCAGGATCTATCAGATCCTGGGATCCAGGATCCAGAATAACAACATTTATTTCTTTGATGTACTATCACTCATCAGTGTAAACACAGGATATCGATACATTATTCAATATTCATCCCCGGTACGCACTCCTGCAAAACAGTTTGGCCCAGCGTTTTCTCCGATAGGAGATACCTTGAACCTTTCATCGACATCACCATCGGATCATCCAGCCTCTCAAAGGATTTACGGTTAGCCGATAGTCCGCGCAGATTCGTAAGCCATTCTTCGTTAGTGTAACCAATAGTGCTGTGATGTACGTAGTTCAGCCGCTCCCTGGCCGTTTCTTCACCGCCAAGCCTTGTGCTTCTCACCTTTCCAACTCCGCGGTCCTATAGAATAAACAGTAGCGCAACTGCAGTACAAACGCTTCCTGAAAGCGGGGCGTGCCGGATCAGTTCCCGAAACCTTAACCAAGATCTGGAGCTGCCTCAGCAAGCTGTCGAATTACAAGAGAAGGGTACATATTGTCTGGATCCCGCGCCACGCAGACATCGATGACAACCAGGAGGCAGACAAGGCAGCAAATCGGGGACGAAACCTCATACAAGCAGAAACCGATGTTGATCTCCTGTCGGCTAGGGTTGCCCTCAGGGATGTGTGCCGAAATAAGTGGAGCGGCACGTATTACACAACGGTGCCGCCCGAGCACATCCATCGGACAGCGACCGATTGTGACTACATGAGATGCCGGAGCGGGTGACAATACCACCTGGTATCGGACCCGCCGTCTCTTCGGATTGTATTCAGCAGACCAGACTCGAACAGACGAGGCGCGAGCAGGTGCTGCTTCATCAATTCAGGGCAAACAGGTGCCCGCTACTTCAGGCCGCCCTGGCTAAATGTAATAGACCAGACACGGACGGCTTGAGAGTGGCTCTACGGGGCCGCTCTCACATACCAGGACGGCCACCACTGGCCGTTGCAGTCCACTGTCATCACCTATCCTATCATCCCATAGCCCTGCAATGGTCAAACATGACCGAAAGGGATTCTAATCCAAACAAACAAACAATCTCCGTCGATACACCTGTTTGGAGTCCATCTTCAGTCTGAGGATGACTAGAATCAGTTTGTGGCTCAGATCGTCCTTGAACAGGACTGAAGCTCGTGCTCTTCATGTCACTTAACACCTTCATCGTGGCGAGCCCGGAGCCATGACGTCCCCGTACACACAACTGGAGTGATCAATTCGACTGCGGCTTCAGTCTATTGGTCTCTATTTATAATGGGAAATGATGGCCCATGCCATGGATATTGGATAATAAATACAACCAGCTTCAGCGCACACCTCACCTTCTCCCCCTAGACGAATGGACTGGGACATGAAGGACGTTAGGCACAGCCCGTTCGTTCGCGCCAGTCCCGGAATGCGAGTGCAAATGTTCGCTCTGATTTTGGTTATCGTCAAGCCCATGTCCACAGTGTCCAGCATCACAGACAAGTCCTCGCTGCATCCCGCGGGCCTGACGTGGCCGCCGGGACAGCTGCGCTAATACCTCACGTCCTTCACGGCCCAATCCACTCCTCTCGGAAAAGACCCGCCACCTTTCTATTGCAAAGTGTGTTTTGGTCATAGCACGTGCTACACTTGTGCTAGCGCACTCATTTCTTCAGCATCTTGTAGCGCTTGTCGAGTTCTATCAGTGTGCCAAGTTTCATGGTGCTAGCTCAACAGATGACGATTTTAGAGCGTTTTCCATGAAAAAACGTTTTTTTGCCTCTGGCACGTGCAGCTTGCACCCCTCCGGGACCGAACCTCCCTAGGATAATGGTTCACTATGAGGAGCAGGTAGCCTGTGAGTATGGCGGCGGTGTCATCATCCGTTTGGCCTGTAGCCCTGACAACAAATTTTTGCAGAGCCTCACGTGGCGGCACGTGACACGGATCACCACGTGACCAACGCCATGGTCTTTCCGGCGGATCGCTGCATCGAATGGTGACAACCCCGTTTCGATCGGCCCAGCCGTTTCGTCGCTAGGACCCAAAATGCTCGACAGACAGACACACAGACTCACAGGCCCGGGCCAACTTTTCCGCAGCGACCTCCCAATGGGAATCTCCGTTCGCTCAGCCCGCTACGCGCGGCTTCGCTCTCTACGATTCTGGAAAATTGCATTGAAAACGAAGTACAATTAGTCGCCCGATGGTTCGCCTTTTATTGCTTAGTCATTATATTGTAGAAAAATATGTTATCAAATCATCGGGCGACAGCGCGAGCGCCTCCGGGCTAACAATTCACAACACCACCTTGCCGTCTACTTGAACCAGCTCCCTGCCTGTGGGCTGGACCCAGCTCTTTGGTGTCCACTACTGTCCGCTGGAGCCAGCTCCCTGCCGTTTCATGGCGACTCAGCCGTCGGCGGGAGACAACTATCTGCCGTCAGCGGACGAACCGAACTTTTCCGAACTTTTTCCGAACGAACCGAACGAATCTGCCGTGCAGAACGACTTTTCTGCGATAGTATAGGTGAGTAGGGTCGGAAGAGTTCGTGAACTTACGGAACCATTTAGTTCAAAGTTCAATACAGTTTGGCTTCAGTTAAATTCAGTTCAGTTACCTAACTATCGGCCTGTCCAGAAAGCTCATTCAGCTCGTTCAACTGAGGGTTCCCGATTTTGAAAAAGTTTAGTTCCTTCAGTTCGAAGTTCACTCAGTTCAGTTTAGATCAGTTCTATGTTCGGTTCAGGTGGGCGACACAGGTCATCTGACAAGCAGTGTTCAGTGCACTGTACAGTGTTGACCCACGAGCGGTCCTTGTCAAAAAGAAAAAAAGAAGCAGAACAATAAATGTTCGTCAGTGATCTGGCTTAACGGATTTGCTCCCATCCCTTGAGTTCTCACAGTGCTTACATACAGATGTCGGCAAGGCAGAGAGAGGTTCCCTGCGCGTTTACCTACAACCCAAACAGAGGCACTGCCCAAAAATACTTCACGACATGATATAAAAGAAGTATAAAAGAATGGTATGAAAGAAGAAAAAAGTGCAGTCGCAACCTAACCTGACCTTCCAGCTTCCCTAAACAATATGCTTACACATTGCGCTGTGTATGAATGTGTTCCTAAATATAGGCCTACAAACAGCTACAAACATACAACTTTCCACCACCAACGTGTCGGGATGGCGCAAGTTTCAGTTCAAAATGGTTTACAAAATGGTAAAGCAATATTAAGTAAGTAAGTCCGTTCAGTTCAGTTCGGATGACTGATCGGGTCTACAAAATGTTCGTTCAGTTCAGTTCAGTTCGGGGAGAGAGTCCACAGGCTGACCCGACACTACATATGCGACGAGGCCGGCCGCGGCACAGGGCCCGCTGCCGCGAGACGCGACAATGCCGTGTTCCCGGACCTGCGGGAGAGGCGGGAGAGGCCGCCCGGGCGACCTGCTACTGACGCACGAAGGCCGGCAAGGCTGTCGCCAGCGCCGGCTGCCGGCCGGCGGCTTTGGTGTGCTAACATCGGCCAAGGACTGGCCGGTACGATTAGGATTTGCTTACTTTTGAAAAAAACGCGATAATAACTGTATGTATTTGGCACAGTGACAAGCCAAAGCAATATTTGTCGAAATATATGGACTTGTGCATTCATTTTTATCCCAGTGAATTCCGTTAAAATACAAACAATATTAACTACTACTGGGAAGAAAAGTATGACTTTAAAGTAATTAGCCTGTCCTTTTATTATGTGCGTATCATGCATATAATGTAATTATTATTCGCCTTATAGTATGTTAATTAATATAAGTTGGCAAGAGAAATAATGGTGACGATGGTTTGGTGGTGACATGTCTGTTCATTTGAGGTGCTCGAGAAAACTTGAGGGGGACGCTTCGACTCCCCCGCACCAGAGCAGCACGGTTAGCATAAGCATGCTAACTCTTAAGAGAGAAGCCAATCTCTTAAAGAACTGACTCGCTTTCCATCGAATATCATAAAGACTACTTCTTCGAGAAACGCGGGAGAATTTCTCATTTCGTCCTTGACGTCACTGCGTGGCTGCGATCTGAGATCTTATGGTGTCTGCGGAAGTGCTGGGAAATTATTGCAGTTCTTGAAGGCGAATCCGCACAGGGTGCGCAACCGCCGCTTGCCACTTCCCTCCTTTTCTGTAAAAGAAAGAAGTGCTATCATTACATAATTCTCGGTAGTAGCAACAGCACAGGGTATTCACAGACATGGGGGGGGGGGGTGCGTCCTAGTAGTGGATTTATGCTCCGAGTGGATCCCACGGCAAAATCCCAAAATGACAACATTGGTGTCAAAATGCACAATTACCAACTATCATGGCTCTCACAACAGTGCTACAAAACATTCAAAACAAAAGTACTTCGGTCAATTTTTGATCAGGTAAAAAAATGAGGTCACCAGAGGTAAAAAATGACAAATTGGCCGATTCGGCACAAATCCGTCGACATTATCGGACCAAATCCGTCCGTAGCAACTAACGGCTAAAAGCCGCGGAAAAAGTATTCGCTTTTTCCGCGAATGCTTCAAATGTTAATTTGTAGAAATTAGCATTGAAGCATTACTTCCACCCAAAGAGGATATGACTGACGCTCAGATGTTTGGTGCTCGAGTAAAAGTCTTACCATGTTTACTTGAGGTCTGGACACCAGTTTCTTGGAGCATCGCTTTAGCTGCAGCCAGGGCATCATCCTGAAAGCAAATTTTCGATCTTATTAACACGCGCACTGCAGCGGGTCTGAGCCGAACACGAACCGGAGGGGGGGGGGGGTTGAAAACAACCCCCCCTGAGATCTCGAAAAGGCGCAACGTAGCGAAGCAGTAAACGGCGTTGGATAGGTCGAGATGTTATCTAAGGAAATGCTAAGGTCATTTTTGTATCGTCAAAAAACAAGGTCACCAGAGGTCACGAAGACAAAATGTAAGATTTTCACAACGGGAATTTCGCGGGTAGAAAAATGTT